GTTTAAAAATTAAATTAAAACACATAACGAGATTTTTGGAGGTATTTACAAATCGGTCCAGTTCACGTATTCTTAATATTTTTTCGAAATATCTTGGCAGAAGTTTTAAAATATAATAAATTTTATCATGCCGATGAAAAAAACCGCTACACTTTTTGTGAGGCACCCTAAGTACATATGAATACATACATTTTTGCATTACATTATTATGAAATAAGAAAATTCTAAAAGCGAAAACGACTGCCAAGAAAACTGTTTTCAAGATGTTTTCCCATCGACCGGCTGACGTTGTCAAACACGAAAAAATGCTATACATTATATTAGGGGATAAGGCAAATAGAAAATTTTTGCATGACTTTCTAAAAAAAACAAAAAGAAAATAAGGCGATAGCCGGAGGTCTTCCGAAAACCCGCTTTATTCACGGACCATTAATGTAAATTTTGGTCTGATGGAAAATAGAAACGGAATAGAATAGCCTTTTCGAATCGAATTTTCTCCTAGTAGCCAGGGTACAGCACACTGGCCGATATTAGTCTGAAACAGGCACCGTAACAGTTACAACTTTTATTAAAAAAATCGCTTTTTAACAGTTATTTTTTTACTTTTATTTAATTACTCCTCAAATAACAGTTATTTATGATTCTTATTTTATAAATCCAAAATAACAATTATTTTGTATTTTTACCTAAATAATCGGCAAATAACGGTTGTTTTTTATTTTTAAATTATATGTCTTAGATAACAGTTATCGAAGACTTTTATTTATAAAAGTCATAAATAAAAATCAGTCAGTGACTTTTACTTTTAAAAGTGATCAATATAAATCAGTCACTGACTTTTATTTTTTAAGTTTTTAAGTAAGTGAAGTTGAACGAATAACCGACCCGTTCAGATACCAGTAACCGGCCTATTAATCACAAGAGCTGGGAAGTGACTTATACCACTTTCAAAATATACGGCTCATGTGTATGTACACATATTGTTTGTATATACTGTGTATACATAAACATATGTACATATGTATGTATATACTTTATCAATCAATGAACTTTTTCGACGTAAACAAATATGACAGCATAGCATGCAGAGTTGATATTCAAGACAATATGTGCTTTGAATGGCAAATCGCGTCTTTGACCATTTAATGTTTACGCAAAACAAAAACTGAAACCAAACATATTTCAATGTTGCAAATAAATAAAGATATGTATGTACATACATATGTATGTAACATAACTTGTAAGTGGTCAGGAATTTTGTTTATTAGCGATATGAACCAAAAGTATAAACATTAGCAGGCCTATGAAATGCGCAATTCTTTTAAGGGAAAATATGCAACAGAAATTGCTGGGCTATGAACATGCAAATGCACATATCTGGAACACATTGTTAAAGGTACGAGGAGTGGCTGATAAATAGTGATATACTGAGTCGATACTTTTATCTATTGATCGATATTTGTTACCGCACATTTTTTTCTGGAATGGACTTCCGGTTAACATTATGCACTTCCGTTCTGTTTAACTCACTTCCAGTCAGGGACGGAAGTCGGTAATACGACCAAAGGATAGAGCTTTCCCGACTGCGTAATTCATTTTTTTTTCGTTTTTTTCAATAAAAGCATGTTCGCTCATTTAAGAAGGGANATTGCGTTCATTGCGTAATTAATTTTTTTTCGTTTTTTTCAATAAAAGCATGTTCGCTCATTTAAGAAGGGAGTTCAAGTTCGAAGGTCATAAAGAGGTTCAAAAAGGCACTTCCGAGAAAAAGTTTCAACCAAAAGCTACTTATTTTTAACCTCAAAATTAGAATCTGTAGTAAAAACAGGTATGTCTAATTTAAAAAATGGACTTTCGACCAGTGTATCTCACCATTTTTTAGTATTAACTAGCATTTATAGGTCCCCGAAAACCCCCCAAAAAAATTAATAGGGGCCCATAAGAAATTGTTAGTATTAAAAAGTTGTCAAATAAACAATTGGGTATTATTATTGGAAGTCTCCTGAAGAGAATTCTATACCATTTCTATGAAAAGGTGCTTCTTCCCCATATAAAATACATGGAAAACTTCATGGGCTTTGAGGAGGTTCTAAATATTTTTTTTACAAAAAATACGGGTGAGAACTTTACATTTTAAACATTTTTGAAAAGTGTTTATTTTTCAACCAGAATCTGTTCAAGTATACGCACAAGATGTTCAAGATTCGATTTTGAACATGAGTTGTTTAAAAAACACACATAAATATACACATTAAATGTTTAAAGTTACAAACATTTTGAAGGTAAAAATATATTTTTTACAAATAATAAATAGTAAGTGCCAGGGGCATACGCAGAAATATATTTTTGGGGGGAAAGAGTTTATACTTCTAAATATATATCATCAGAAAATACTGAAAATTCGCTGTTTAAAAAACATTTATGCAATTTTATGTACAGAATGAACTAAAAAAATTCACTTTTTAAAGTTTCATAAATTGCATTTTATTTACATAAAATGTACAAAGAACTCAGACATTTTCAACCGGCTTCAAAAAAGGGGAGGTTGTCAGTTCTTCGGAGTATTTTTACTTCTTTTATTTATTTCACCGCATAACTTTGCACTGCGTGAACCGATTTTTTTTACCGGAAAGATAGTACCGTCGTCCCGTAATTTGGTTTAGATCCGATCAGTAAATCATGAAAAAATTAACGGTTAAAGATGCACTCAACTTTCAAAAGTAATAGAAAATTTTACAAAAGAATTTTAATATAAATAAATTAAATAATTTCACGAAAGTTTTACACTTTTTTATTCATTTTCGTCGATTTCTTNAATTTTTTAGGTAATGTTTTGATGTCGGTTGAAGCGCATCAACAAGCAAAATGGCCGATTGTGGGGCTGTGAAAATCCAAGGGCAACACAACAGCACCAGTTACACCTATACAGATGCATTGTTTGGTGCGGTGTTATGGCCGAAAAAGTTATCGAGAATGAGGATGAAACGCCAGAAACGATTTATGGGGTTTCTTACAGAACAATGATTGAAAACTTTTTGCGGCCAACGGCAGAGCATCATCCTAATTTGTGGTCCCAACAAAATGAAGCGACTGCGCACGCTGCTAGGCAAACTATGGACCTGCTGCGTGAAATAGGTATGTAGGTCTTATTTTGCCCACCCTTTACATATTGCATATGAATGCAGTAAGTGTCTATGAACATGTATGGTCGAAAATTTTGATTGGGCGTATATGAGCCCTTAGAAATTGTGAATTGCGCACTTAATTTAATCAGCATCTACATATGTATGTACATAGTATATAAAGATTGGATTATTAGCGCGTGTACGTTAAAAAAAAGTGTTTTGATTACATACAAATGTATTTATTAATTTTTATTTATTTATTAAATTTTTTGAAAATATTCAATTAAGTACTAGCACAAGCGCGTAGTCAGGATAAACTGAAGAGGGTCAGGGGGTTAATTACCAATACACAATTTTTCTACATATTTTATTCAATATTTTTTTTTTTTGCTATTAACAACCGCCTCGGATATTCAATTATTTTCTTCTCAAAAACCTTGCGGCTTTCGTTAGTTCAGAAAGTCGTTTCACTCTTTATTGTCATTATTTTGGGTATGCAGTTATAGTTGCACCACTATACCCAATTCCGGCACCTGCGTCCCCGTTCACGCACTCTGAGCAATATGTGCAACCTATGTGCGAGATGTGGTAACCAACTCGTGTGAAGAGTTATTTCACGGCAGAGAAGTAAGAAGAAATCTTAACCTGACCACGATGGTTTAGTGNGGTAACCAACTCGTGTGAAGAGTTATTTCACGGCAGAGAAGTAAGAAGAAATCTTAACCTGACCACAATGGTTTAGTGGTCCTTCAGCCACGCAATTGCTATACGTGCTGGTGGGAAGTGGACTTGGTCGTCCTCGACTGGAAGTTCTAGTTAATCTTCTTCAACGGTTTCCTTGTCTTCACTTAAGTTTTTGAAAATCGGCAACGATCTCAAACTTTCCGAGGGGGTATTGTTGTTATAGGTTATGTTGAAACTGTCGAACATACAGAACACAGGTTCTGGACCGTTCGTGATACTACGCTAGGCTTTGCTATACCCCCATACATTTAAAACCTGTTCATCTTACTGTAGTGTCTTCAGAACGTCTAGCAAGATCCAGGCTATTACAANGATGGTTTAGTGTTCCTTCGGTCACGCAATTGCTATACGTGCTGGTGGGAAGTGGACTCGGTCGTCCTCGACTGGAAGTTCTAGTTAATCTTCTTCAACGGTTTCCTTGTCTTCACTTAAGTTTTTGAAAGTCGGCCACGATCTCAAGCTTTCCGAAGGGGTATTGTTGTTATAGGTTATGTTGAAACTGTCGAACATGCAGAACACAGGTTCTGGACCGTTCGTGATACTACGCTGGGCTTTGCTATACCCCCATACATTTAAAACCTGTTCATCTTACTGTAGTGTCTTCAGAACGTCTAGCAAGATCCAGGCTATTACAAAAGTAATGTAATATAGTTTCTGGTTTACCAAATCGGAGAAGGCATTCTGTACGTTAGGTACTTAAGGTCGGTCATTGTTACCTAGAAACTGGAGAGGTGGGTTGTAACTGTTGTTAGCATCAGGAAGGGTAGTGACATGGTTCGGAGCCCATACAACAAGCTTGCGAAATGTGTAATGCTCGCGTATATCACTTTGTTAACACTAGAAAGACTGAAATAGGAAAATTGGGTCACATTACGCCTGCTCGACTTTTTAGCGTTAAAGAGAGCCTCGACAAACCTCTGAAATCAGACTTAACTTGGAACTTCGGCTAAGACCCAATCAGATCGAAAGCATACAACTTGTTAGAGGCTCATATAATTTATATTTGAATATTTTTTCTACATAAAATTTAGAGTAGATAATATATGTATATATATATATATATATTGGTATTAAATAATTTTACTGATCTTACTTTACCTAATCAAATTTTCATGTTTTTATTTCTTACAGTGCGCGGCAGAGACGTTGGCAAGGACAATTATTTTAACCAGAGAAAGACGTGTGAAAAGTGTATTATTTTTAACATTAACGATATAATTTCACTTAGTTTTTTCCCCAAAATAAGAATTATAAGCAAAAAGAAATTTGCAAATATTAATATTTTTCGAGTGTTCGTATTTGAGAAAAGCCTTCAAAGGAAAGCCATTTGCTTGCGACACAACTTTCAACTTTAGAGCCTAAACTAAAAAAAAATAGCAACGGAGCAACAATAAAACAACAAATCGCTATTTCACAACGCTTGGACCAAAATACTCGAAGATACCGAAGAGAGGATTGCGTATCAAAACAAACACGCGCACTAAAAACAGCAGATAAAACGGAAGTAAATAGCGATTGCAGATAATAAACATTTGAAAGCGTTAATAAAAAAAACGAAAAAGAAAACGTTAAACAATAAACAATTAAAACAAATACATAGCGCGAAGTAAATAAACAACGTAAAATTCCAAAAAAAAACAATAAAATAATAAAAGCTATAGCGTATCCGAAAAGAATCCAGCAAACGCTGGAACTCCAAGAGTCTTTAGGGTGCTAACACACAATAAAAGCCAATAAAAAGTTTGCGTGTGTGCGGGTGTTTTTGAAATTTCCATTGTTCCGAGTACTCTAGCTACGGACAGGCCCATTCGCAGTCCGCTTGCCATCCAACCAACCAGCAAGTCAGCTGTTAAGACGCAATTAAGAGTACATTTGGGCTGACGTATTTTTTTCGCATTCATTTACCTGTAGCGCAGGCACTTCACTTTTTAATATCTCTACTCTTTGCACTCTCCGGTGACACTCTGCAAGAGGTTTGCTGCACAATAACTGTCGTAAAACGACGTTACAAACTAGCGCAGTTGTACAATAAAACCATTAATCGGGCGGCAGTGACGTCAAGAGAGAAGACCTTCAAAGGAAAACTAACTACACAATATCTATACATATATACATACATATGCTTAGATACTAGATAGAAAAATAAAACAACAACTACAACAACAAACCAGCAGCCATAAATACCGAAAAGCAAACTATTGTTATCAACGTACAACAACACTCACATTGCTGTAACAACAATAACAACAAAAATAAGAGAAGCATAATAAATATACGAGCACAAATAAAAAATAAAAATTGATACATATAAAAGCAAACAAAGCAAGACATTAGCGTGGCATTAGCCATACATTAAAGCATACATACAAATATATATGTATATGTACCTACAGCGATAACTAGCTGCTCACGTTCGCTAGACGATCTTCATCGGGTCTATATATACGCGCTGGCACAACTCGTGGCACAGATAGATACAAATCGTATACTGATCGTAACATTTAAAGTGCATTGCAATTTGCCAACAATTCAGTCGTATTTTGACTTTTGTGCGGATAACTACCAAACTAAAAGGATCATTTTGGATCGAGCTACAAACAAGAGATCTGCGCGACATATAGCAAAAAAAAACGAAAAAACCAAAGCAAAAACCATCACGCAAACTCATTTGGCTTATTTGAAGTTTTTTCTGTGCTAAACGGTGCAAAGAAACCGTTTTCCGATGTCGATTAATTCGCCAATACACTTAAACTCTGACCTGATTTAAACAGGCAAAAAAAAAGCAGGCGTTAATTAACAAATACCAGTGTTGAGTAACACAACAACAGCAATTAGTAGAACAACGCCACATAGAAACGGGTGTTGTTTTTTTCGTTTCTGTTTCGTTTTCGAAAGTATTCTTCGTTTCTCGTTTTTTTTTGGATTTGAAATTCCTTTCGGTTATTGAATTCTTTGTGAAACCAATACAAACGCGTTACAACAACAACAACAACAACAACAACAACAACAACAACAACAAAACGGAATTAATAAATCACGTGCAATTAAACAAATCTCAGAAAAACACACAACAAAAACCACAATAAAGTAGTAAACAAACAAGTGACTGACTCATTGAAAACGAGGCTGAACAAAAAAAAAAAAAAAAAAAAAAAAAGAAA